TACCACTACCACTACCACTACCACTACTACTACTAAACAGAATATATATGTAGAAAAGAAAAGACAGAAATTCCGTTTTATAGTAATAAAACAAGGAAAAAGAGCGAAATCGGTGATAATGAAGATAATCCATACACGCAAAACAAGACAAAGAGAAACAGAAATGAATAGACGATAATAATTAAACCCACAGAAGGAAATTCGTATGCTGACATAATGAGAAGCATGAAAAAAGAAATGACAACGGAAGGAATATTAATAGACAGAGTGAACAGAACAAACGAAGAAAACATCCAAATAAAAATCAAAGGAAAAGAAGAAAAAAATAGAGAGGAATTTAAAGAGCTCTTAGCCACAAAACTAAATAATAAAGCACAGGTACAAACAAAACAAAGAACTCAAACGATAATGATTTTGGACATTGATGAAAACATACAGGCCAAGGAAGTACAAGAAATTATCGGAAGAGAAATGAATGGTCAAGAAGGACTCCAAGGAGAAGTGCAATTAAGGATGGCGGAAAAAGCAAACGGAAAGGGGCTTAAATACGCATTCCTGACAATAGAAATGAGTATAGCACAAAATTTACTCTTAAAAAAAAATAGGATATGGATGGAACAGATGGCGAATAAAAGAACTAGAAAGTATACCCAAATGCTACAACTGTCATAGAATAGGACATATTGCCAAAAATTGTACAAAAAAGGATCAAAAAGAATTGTGTCAAAAATGCGGACAACAAGGACACCGGAAGAAAGACTGTAAAAACGAAGATAGATGTTACCTATGTAACACCGAAGGACACAGAGCTGAGACGATGAAATGCCCTGAATACCGTAAGCTAGTACAACAGCAAAGAAGGGAGAAAAAGGTGAGAATAGCAAGTGAATCATAGACAGGAAACTTACTATCCTTCAAGGCAATATAGACAGAGGTAGAGAAGCTATGGACATGGTGTATAAATTTGCAGACGAATATAATGCGGATGTGATTATCATGGCGGAACCCAACAAAAAGAAAGCAGTCCAGGCCAATTGGGTGGTGGATAACAACATAGATGTGGCTATCCACATACAAAACAAAAACCTTAAAGTAATTCAAACAGGAAGACATCCAGGAATTGTATGGATATAAACAAAAACACTGGTTATATATGGATGTTACATATCCCCAAACATAGACACGGGACAATTTATTGACTTCATTGCCACGTTGAGAACCGACATGAAGAAACACGAAAAGGAAATATTAATAGGGGGCGATTTTAACGCTAAGTCATATATATGGGGCTCCAAAACCGAGGATAAAAGGGGAGAAATACTGACGGAATGGATGATGGAAGAGGATTTAGTGGTTCACAACAAAGGAGACGCGCCTACCTTTGTGAGAGGAGATAGTAAATCGTATATCGACATAACTTTTAGCACCAACAAAGTAGCTAAACAGGTAGTAAACTGGAAAGTCTTAGAAGAAGAAAACCTAAGCCTACACCAGCACATTTGCTATGATATTGAAGATACAAAACTAGGTCAAGAGACAAATAAAAGTAATCGACACGGATGGGTGATAAAAAAACAACATATGGAGAAAATGAATGAAGAATTTGGAAGACAAATTGAAATAAAAAATGGGATAAAGAAAGCTAAGGAATTGACAGATATAGTGACTAAAGCGTGTGACAAAGCCTTTACACGAAAAAATAACAGACAAAATAAAAAACCGGTGTACTGGTGGTCAGAAGAGATAGCGGAAAAGAGGAAAAAATGTTTATCATTAAAAATAACTGTGTCAAAAATAAACAAAAAAAACGAAGAACATCAAAAAAGAATATATAAAGATAGGTACAAAGAAGCTAGAATCGAACTTAAAAAAGCAATTATTGAGGCAAAAAAGAAGGCATGGGAGGCAGTCATATAAGAGGTAGAAAACGATATCTGGGGAAGAGGGTACCAGATTGTCATGAAGAAACTGAAGACCAAACCAGTGATTACACTGTCAGATGACAAACAGATGGAAATAGCAAACACACTTTTCCCAGCGCACCCANAACTTTTAGCACCAACAAAGTAGCTAAACAGGTAGTAAACTGGAAAGTCTTAGAAGAAGAAAACTTAAGCCTACACCAGCACATTTGCTATGATATTGAAGATACAAAACTAGGTCAAGAGACAAATAAAAGTAATCGACACGGATGGGTGATAAAAAAACAACATATGGAGAAAATGAATGAAGAAGTTGGAAGACAAATTGAAATAAAAAATGGGATAAAGAAAGCTAAGGAATTGACAGATATAGTGACTAAAGCGTGTGATAAAGCCTTTACACGAAAAAATAACAGACAAAATAAAAACCGGTGTACTGGTGGTCAGAAGAGGTAGCGGAAAAGAGGAAAAAATGTTTATCATTAAAAAGAAGTGTGTCAAGAATAAACAAAAAAAACGAAGAACATCAAAAAAGAATATATAAAGATAGGTACAAAGAAGCTAGAACCGAACTTAAAAAAGCAATTATTGAGTCAAAAAAGAAGGCATGGGAGGCAGTCATAGAAGAGGTAGAAAGCGATATCTGGGGAAGAGGGTACCAGATTGCCATGAAGAAACTGAAGACCAAACCAGTGATTACACTGTCAGATGACAAACAGATGGAAATAGCAAACACACTTTTCCCAGCGCACCCAGTCACTAAGTGGCCAAAAATACCGACAAATGGTACTGTCCCAATGTTTACAAAAGAAGAAGTTTTAGAAGCCAATGACCGTATTAAAGAGAAGAAATCCCCAGGACCTGATGCGATTCCAGCAGAAGTACTTAAAGAAGTAGTTAAAACATATACTGAGACCTATGTAAAAATACTGAATCAATTATTAACTGAGGGAGAATTTCCAAAAGAATGGAAAGTGGCAAAATTAATGCTCTTGGATAAAAATAAACCTGGAATAGAAAAGGCATATAGACCAATATGCCTTCTTAATACAATTGGGAAGTTATTTGAGCATCTGATACTAGTTAGACTGAAAAGAGAAAGAGAGAGGAAAGGTGGATTATCGGTATACCAATACGGATTTAGGGAAGGAAAGTCAACAATAGATGCGCTGGAAAAAATCCAAGAAATATCAGAAGAAGCAAAAGAAAGAACATCAAGGGACAGATGTATACTGATATCCCTTGACGTACAAAATGCATTTAACTCAGTACCATGGGAAGGAATACTTACCGAGATGAGAAGAAGAGGAATGACGCCATATCTACATAACATCGTAGCCAGCTACCTACAAGATAGGACCTTAATAATTGGTGAAAATAGCAGAATGGAGCTGACATGTGGCGTCCCACAGGGATAGGTTTTGGGCCCTACACTATGGAACCTATACTATGACGGCGTCCTAAGTATTCCTGTCCCTAGAGGCGTTAAACTCATCGCATATGCGGACGATCTTGGCATAATAGTCACAGCAAAACAAGCAAACAAGATGAAGGAAACAGCGAACAAAGTGATTGAAGAAGTAACTGAATGGATGACCAATAAAAAACTAAAACTTGCCCCACAGAAAACGGAAGTAGTACTTCTCGTCGGTGGAAGAAAAACAAAAAGCGCTACAGTTAACATACAGGGAATACGAATAACCACACAAGAATCAATCAAATATCTGGGAGTATTCCTGAATAGAAATATGACGATGGNAGGTGGATTATCGGTATACCAATACGAATTTAGGGAAGGAAAGTCAACAATAGATGCGCTGGAAAAAATCCAAGAAATAGCAGAAGAAGCAAAAGAAAGAACATCAAGGGACAGATGTATACTGATATCCCTTGACGTACAAAATGCATTTAACTCAGTAGCATGGGAAGGAATACTTACCGAGATGAGAAGAAGAGGAATGACGCCATATCTACATAACATCGTGGCCAGCTACCTACAAGATAGGACCTTAATAATCGGTGAAAATAGCAGAATGGAGATGACATGTGGCGTCCCACAGGGATCGGTTTTGGGCCCTGCACTATGGAACCTGTACTATGACGGTGTCCTAAGTATTCCTGTCCCTAGAGGCGTTAAACTCATCGCATATGCGGACGATCTTGGTATAATAGTCACAGCAAAACAAGCAAACAAGATGGAGGAAACAGCGAACAAAGTGATTGAAGAAGTAACTGAATGGATGACCAATAAAAAATTAAAACTAGCCCCACAGAAAACGGAAGTAGTACTTCTCGCTGGTGGAAGAAAAACAAAAAACGCTACAGTTAACATACAGGGAATACGAATAACCACACAAGAATCAACCAAATATCTGGGAGTATTCCTGAATAGAAATATGACGATGGGCAGCCATATCAGAAAGGTGGTTGAAAAAGCTAGCAAGGCGCTAGGGAACATAAATAGAATTATGCCCAAAATAGGAGGAGCCAAGGAAAATAATAGAAGGGTTATGTACTCGGTGGTACAGTCGATTGTGATGTATGGAGCCACTATATGGAAAACAGCTACAAAAAAGACCATATACAGGAACATGCTACTGAAATTACAAAGAAAAGCAGCTATTAACATAACAAGTGCATATCGTACAACATCAACAAAAGCTTTGTTGGTGATTGCCAGAACGCCACCCATGCACATACTAGCAGAAGAAAAAGTGATGCTACGACAGGGGATAGCAAGAAATGACGCACGACAACGGACAATGGAAAAATGGCAAGAGAGCTGGGAAAAAGAGGAAGGAGTAGCGGAATGGACAAAAGACTAATACCGGACCTAAGATCATGGGTAAATAGAAAATATGGAGAAGTTGATTTCTACATGACACAAATTTTGACAGGGCATGGAAAGTTTATATCATATTTACACAAATTTAAGCTGTACGATACCGAATATTGTTTATACTGCGATAATGCTGATACGGTGGAGCACACTTTTTTGACTGTGTCAGATGGACTGAACCCACAAAATTAATGGAAGACAGAATAGGGACAGTAACACCCGAGAATGTTGTGATTAAAATGATGGAGAAGAAGGAGAACTGGGAAGCAGTTAAAAGGACAGCTACGACGATATTAAAAGCAAAGGAACAAGAGATGAAGAGGGGCAAAGAGGGATAATAGCGCAGCGCGACTTCGAAGTAATACCGGAAGGTAGTTCCGAAGTGTCTGCTACTAACAACTGCTACTACTAACAAAAAACTACTACTACTACTACTACTACTACTACT